ATTACTTATGTACAGCTAATATTGTGATACAGACACCATGTTGGTTTAATGTAAATTCTGCTTGCAGTACGTGTAGGCTTGGCTTTTAAAACCATGGGATAAAAATTACATATGACTCAGCAAGCTAATATGAAGAGTAGTGTGACCTCAGAGCAACACTCAGACAAATGCTATGTGCCCCGCCGTGGTGGTCTAGGGGCTAGGGTACTTGGCTGCTGACCTGCAGGTCGCGGGATTGAATCTCGGCTGCGGCGGCTGCATTTTCGGTGGAGGCGGAAATGTTGTAGGCCCGTGTGCTCAAATTTGGGTGCACGTTAAAGAACCCCAGGTGGTCGATATTTCGGGATCCCTCCACTATGGCGTCTCTCATAATCATATGGTGGTTTTGGGACATTAAACCCCACATATCAATCATCAATCAAATGCTATGTATGGTATTCACAGCATTACACGCGAATTGTTAATCGCAATGTAGCGGGCCCTTCGTTGCAATAAAACTAACGTATTTTTTCCTGACATTACGTCGGATGATAAGTTACCTTTGAAACATCAATGTAGTCGGCGCGCCTGGAAAGCCCACTATATGTCCACCCATCTACTCCACCTACAAAAACACGTTGGTCCACTTCGATACGGTTGACTAAAAGCTAAAAAAGGCAGCATAGACTCGTCGACTGCTTCAGATAAAACCGATCCACAATGCGTGGGACCAGCCGAATCTTTCGTAATACTTTGTTATTGTGTCTGATAATAATAATGTTCTAAAACTACAATGAGATTATGGAAGACGCCATAGTGGAGGGCTCCAGAAATTTCGATCGCCTGGAGTTCTTTCCATGCACCCAAATCTAAGTACACTGGCCTCAAACATATTTGCCTCCATCGAAAATGCTAGTTCGTCACCTTGTGTTGTGGTTAGGTGGCGGCGTCGGATCACAACTACGTTGGTTAGCTGCATTGTTTTCACGTGGCATTACAAAGTCGTCCTTCTGGCCACGAAGTTTCGGCTTCAAGTCGCTCTCCTGCTTCAGGCTGTTCTTCATATTTCGACACGGAATCGATGGAGAATTTTCGGTTATTCATCGAAGAGCAACCGCACCCCTATGAGTTGCTGCCTGTGGTGATCCGGGTAAAGGCTATTAGACCGGCCTTGAGCAGGGCCGATGGACTGCCTACATTGAGGATGCCATAGAAGCCCGAGAAATGGCCCACCTACGCACCAGAAATCAGCAGACGACCGAGAGCCACAGTCACAACCCTGGACGACGCTTCGTGGAATACCAGCCTGGCCGCCTCGTTGGGTGTGAACGCCAATACGCCGACGTGGACTCAGTGAAAAACTACCACAACGGTAGTTCGAACCTGTTATGACTGTAATCGGCAATGAAATTCTTTGTGTGCTGTAAACCCGATGAAAAGGCCTAGACCCAGTTCCAGCAAAAGAGTTAAGACGGGCTGATTTCCTCTGTCAAGTGTGAACAAGGGTGTCCTCATGCTGGCTTGGTGCTAAAAAAACGCACGAGAAAGAAAAGGTCATTGTGACCTTGGCCCTATCCGAGGTATAAAGGCTTTCCAGGCAAACAAAGAGGCGACAGGGCCATTTTCGAAGCCACTGTGATGATAGGAGAACTGAACGAGGGAGCACAGGGAGGTATTAGCTGTTCGGGGTAGCAGCTAAAACCAAACCGGCTGTAGCTGCACCTTTCAAGGAGAGCCCGAAAGTTTGCAGGTGTTCAGGAGTAACTCCTAGCAAATGAAGAGAAATTAGTTGACCACTCCTCATTCCCCCCTCCCTCCATAGTAGCGGCTACATGGTGTGGCATGTTTGACGATAAACCTGTCAGGCCGCTGCAGACAGGCAAGTTTGGCATACGTAAGAAGAGCCGGACTTTTCTAACATCCCCCTCTTGCCAGGAGAGTTCTTGGAACCCAGATAAACTAGAATCATCGGACATGCGCAAAATCTTCGTGTTGCGTATTCGTGACCAAATTTGATTGATGATTTATTGATATGTCTGGTTTAACGTCTCAAAACCACTATATGATTATGAGAGGCGCCGTAGTGGAGGGCTCTAGAAATTTAGACCACCTGGAGATAACGTGCACCCAAATCTGTCATGACCAAATTTGGGCATAGTTTAGACTGTGCCCTCTCCATGTGCATTGCTTGGTGTCTTCCCCGCCTTCATGGGTGGAGCACCGAGACCATCGAGCGCCGTATTGGCTGAAGACGCAGACAATGTGCCCAGAGTAGGACACGCAGGACTACAGTCGAGCCCGCTTATAACGAACCTGAGCGTGACACTGCATTCGTTCGCTGTATACCAAAGTTCGTAGTAAATGAAACACAGCTTTTAAAAAAAGTTGCAAGTGAAAACACAAACTTTTTTGCCCCAAAAAGTCCATGATGCATGTGACTCGAAGAACGGAAGCGATAAGAGCGGTCTCGAGTTCATTTAAAACGGCAGGGTGCTTGTTCGCTGAAGCCCGTGGCATAAGCTGCATGAGGCACTGGCTCCAAAGTTTTGTCGTTCTCGCAATCCGATTCCTCCAAATCGCTCTCGCCACGTACTTCATTCACAATGCCCCAATCCATGCATGGCTCCGCAGTGTCGGCACCACCATCGGCCGTAATTATACCATCGCAACAGATGTCCCACCCATTCTCCAAGGTCGGAGTCGACGACGCGCCTCCACAAATCGCCGCCGCAGTTCGGAAGCTTCGGCTCGGCATTGGGCCCGACGTCGACGAAGTCGGCCTCGCGAAAACAGTTTCGCGCACATGAGCCATCACCACCACCCACAAAATATTCACTATCTCCACAGCTGAATACCGGGACGCCCGAAGCGTAAAGTTCGCTGCCAGATGGTCAACAGCTATGAGGAAGCACTTCGCAACACGGCACCTAACGTGCAGATTACCCTCAAGCCACACAGTCGCATTTTCGACGGTTTGTTGAGCGGCAGGAAAAAGCGTGCTAGACCTCCCGTCGGCCATCATGAACACACACGAACACCAAGAGCGAGCAAGTCGCGCACACGCGACACACATGCCAGAACGCGTGGAACAGCTCTGGGCCTGTATCCAGTCAGAAAACGAAACTAATTCGAGCCAGCGTGGTGGGCGTCGCGGAGCGGTGGAGACGGGCGAAGCGGTTGTTATCAAGAGAGGAGAGCAGACTTGCGAGAGAAGGGCAAGGAGTTGCGATAAAGAGATGGGAGGATGCGGCGGGAGGGCGACCTTGAAAACCAAAACACACGGGAAGGAGGCAGGTTGGGTAGCTTGCTTGAAAGGTCCGTGAAACACGCACGTAGAAAAACTTGGAAAAAGTGCATGGCCGCCTGAATCGGCGCGCGTGGCGGTGTTCGAAGAATCGGCGGACGTGGTCAAAAAATCGTTTCGTTGCGCCGGAGGGTTTGCCTGGCCTCAGGAACTTCGATATTTCGCGATTCGTTCCGCGCAAATTAACAGCCGTTTTCGCGCTTCCGCACGCGGGAAAGGCACACTGAGATGAGTGCGAAGTGGGCGAGAACAAGTCCTAAACACGAAACGAATCACAAATTATCAGAGTCGGTGGGGTAGCGTACGCGCGTGCACTAGACGCAGACTATTGGATACAGTCGGCGGCCGACAATGTTGGCAAATGGTCTGATCACTTCAGGCCGGCAACGTCAACGACAGTAACAGCGATCAAAAACAGGGTAGATGGCCGACTGGTCTTCGAAAGATCGATAGCAGTGTGAAAACGGGCCTCGTCTGGCGATGCGGGGTGCTCAGAGTAGCAGGGGGGACAGGACGGAGGGGTGCGTAACAAAAAGCGGTCGGAGAGAGCAGCAACCAGAGGGGCACGGAGGCAGGGTCGGCATTTAACAATGAGAATGTATGGACACCTCGCCGATGCCTGATCGGTAGACAAAATTGGTTTTCCGGGAAGTCGGCAGACCGCTGATTCCGTTCGCTGTAACCGATCAGCGGCCCTCGGAGACGTTCGTTGTAAGTGCAATTTTGTGCCATTGAATCAATGTATATTTTCACGGTCACGCGTATATTGTTTGTATTAAGCGAAAGTTCGTTTTAAGTAGGGTCGGTATATGTGGGCTCCGCTGCATATAAATGGATGACCTTTTGTATAATTTCAGTACTTCAACGAACTCTTATTTACTAAACCACTTGATCACCTCATGTCAACTTCTATGTTCCTAACCATCTAAATAAAACCTCGTTCTTAAGAGCGCCTCATCTCACTTCTTGGACGATGGGTCCAACGACAGGGGCAGCTGCCAAAATGAGAGCTGCTGGACCTGGAGTCGAGACAGGACGTGTGGTACTTCAGTGTTTCAGCACAATCGACCACTAGATTATTTGTCAATTGATATGTGTGGTTTAATGTCCCAAAACCACTATATGATATAAGAGACGCCATAGTGGAGGGCTCTAAAAATTACGAACACCTGGGGTTCTTTAAGGTGCGCCCACATTTGAGCACACGGGCCTACAGCATTTTCGCCTCCATCTAAAATGCAGCCGCCACAGCCGGCATTCCATCCCCGCGACCTGCGGGCCAGCAGCAGAGTACCTTAGCCACTAGACTACCGTGGCAGGGTCACAATCAACTATGCGGTTGTCCCTGACAGCATTACAAGCTCTCAATGGCTTGAGGTGCACATACTCTGCATGGTAGAAATTAGAATAGAATTTGGTGCAAAACAAAAAAATAGTCAGGACCCCCTTGGTCTGTCCTTATCTGAACACAACCGGCCGACGCTCCGTTGTGTACCGTTGTAATTTGACTTTACGGCTACCAGCTACAAGTTTGACAAAATAAATAGTTTCATCTTGGACATACTATCTGCTGCCTCTGTCAACCTTACGCTCATGTGAAAATGCTGAGAATTTTATAATTTCAAGTTTGTTAGCCGGCTATATGTATTCAAACACTAATTTGCTTTTTGACAGAAACAAGAGAGTGTCCTCAGTGTTACCAGAAAATTCAGCTCACTAAAAGGAGAGACTCCAGGTGGGCTTTATTGCAGTCAACCAAACATTGCTAAGTAAAGCACCATTCCCAGTTGTTGAGGTTGGACGATCCCTTACAGTTCCTGAGTGAAGAAAAAGAGAGTCTCTGTCAAATGTGTGGTTCCAAGTTGAACGAACAACTCACCTGATGTTGAGCACTGTTTCTTGCCGACAGGCCCTCAACCAGTTGCAGTTGTAGTGAGCCACTCACAGTTGGTACCTGCAGCAAAATGGCAAGTTCGGCCAATTGATTGGAATTCATGTTTAACTTGGTCACAGTGCAACAAAAACAAGGAGAAAAAGAAGAAACATAACAAAGTTATAGCAGAATACAGACAAATTCAAAAGGAAGAAATACAAGATGATTACAGTACAACACAGACAAAGACAAACGGAAGAACCAACCCTTGGTTACAGCACATAAAAGACGAGGACAAAAGGAATAAACGTATCTTGGTTATAGCGCAACACAGACAAGGATTAAATAAAAAAATATATTTTGGTTACAGCACAACACAGACAATGACAAAAGAAAGAAATATACAGTAAAACCTCGTTGATACAGTGTCACTGGGACCGTGAGAAATCTTTGAATTAAGCGGGTTTTTTAATTACCAGAACATACAAAAAGTGGAATGCAAGGAACTTGAAATTATCCAAATTAGTCAGGGCTGGTCATTTGCTGTGCCAGCTAGTTTGTGGCTCTAGGGACATGTTTTCCAGCAATACCTGGTCACAGTTTCTGCAAACGAGGGGGCATTCCGGGCTTAACTGCTGTCACCGCAAAAAAAGAGAAAAAAAGAAAACACGACCAACTGATATTTGTGCTTGCAAAAAACAAGACATCACTGCAACACAGTAGTGACACGCGGGCAGAAAGTAAACATGACCAACTGGTATTCGCACTTGCGAAAAACAAGACATTTTCACTGCAATACACTAGCGACACTCGGGCAGCATGTCGCCTGCTCCTCGCTGCGTCAGCACGTCGTGATGCAATCCTTTGCTCATTTTTTCTTGTAAAATAAAAAATTTAATAAGAGAAAGTGTGACAAAATTCGCGATGTGTTCTGACTGAAAAACATCACACCATTGAAGCTTTCGGCGGGAGTTTTCTTCAAAGTAGGCATTGGAGCCAAGAGCTCCGCCAGCTATGCAGGTGCTCGAATTGCTGGAGCAACCGGCACTCGGAGGTTCGCATACAAAGCGGATTTCTCCAGACTGTCCTTTATTAATTTCTTTAAATTCCTAGAAAGAATGGATAAATCGTGATGCGCTGATGTTGCGAGAAGCATGCAACATGCTGTCCGCACGTCACTAGGGTATTGCAGTGACGCACGTCTTGTTTACCACAGGCGCATATTTTAGTTGATCACGAGACCGTTATTTTTTATATAATTTTGTTTTTCGTGCTGAAAGTAGCGAGGCAGGGGTGCTTCAGCTACCATTCATTAGTATCGCTAAAGTACATTGCCTAGTGGCTCTTAAGGTTCATCAATTCCGCGGATTTGCGGCGAAATCGGGGTCGGGAATGGGCACACTGCACCCAAAGTTATCGAGTTAACCAGACTTCTACTGACCGCCGCTTCGAATTATCCGCTCTAACTTACATCCCAAAATACGGGACCGCGAAAATACTTCGAATTAAGTGGGATTTCGAAATAACCGAGTTCGAATCAACGAGCTTTTACTGTATTTTGTTTACAGCGCAACACACACAAGGAAAAAATGTATTTCGGTTACAGCACAACACAGACAAGGACACAGGAAACAAACGCATTCATTACAGTGCAACACAAACAAGGACAAAGAAAGGAATATCTTGTGGCATTCCTTCATTAAATTTTGTTATCACCCCATTGAACTGTAATTCTCAACGCAAACCATACCTGCAGTGTTCAAGAAGCTTCAGAGCTGTTGTCGATAATTTTCTTATGGTTACCTCCCCAACGCGAACATTGCAGATTATTCTGAAACCAACATACCGTTAGCGATAGCGCTGGAATATTTGATGGAACATGTTTAAATGCCGACATGCTTCAGCGTTTATCAGTTGACCTGATGGATGACGCTTTGTTCGCCGCTATCTGTGCCTTGGTGCAATCTGATTTTCCTTTTACATGGCCACAAGTTCGGCCCAATAAACAGTTTTACCTGAACACCCAGTCTGCTCCCTTCACCCGCGTCATGACCCCGTGACAATATTTTGCTTAGAGCGCAACACAGACAAGGACAAAAAGAAGCTTATCTTCGTGGCACAAACTTATCGTGAGAGTGCTTGTGAAGGGTTGGATTGAGAGAGAGATGTGGAAGAGATGGGTGTGGCAAAACCAAACACACTTTATCACACCAAACAAAACGGCAAACAGCAATCTGACACTCAGAATTCACTCCCCAAATAGAAACAAGTATGTACACTGTAATCGGCTATAAAACGATACCATAACTAACAATGATCCAAGTAAAATTCAGTACTAAGCCTTACACTGTCTCTAGCCAAAATGGCATCTTGGTGGCTACTCTCGTGCGCTCTCGCCATAGTAGAAAATTCTTACTATTCTGATGCCACCTTCGGAGCTATGACGAAGTGGTGCTGCCTCATTGACGACGGCACGTGTCCACTTGACGATAGGCTCGACTGCATTGCCGGTGTCTCAGTCCTTGTCTCAATTTTCAGTCTCGCTAGGCCCTGCGCGTCAAGGACTCCCCCGCTTATGCGTCAAATTGGCTCTGGTATGGGCTGCTCCCTTCTTGACGCGATGCGGGGAAGCTGCAAGCCCACCAGAAACTGCTGAGCAGGATGCGGCAAGTCCGGGTAGCCTCACTTGGGACCATCTCCGAGGTTGACAGCCACTTCTCGAGCTCTTCGTGCCAACGTCCTCAGAACTGGGCATTCATGCTGCTACCGTTGCAGTAACGACGCTCATTTTCCACGTCTTCGCAGCTTGGCGTCCGAACACACAGTGCCAGCTCATCCTCTGGAATCGGGTCGCGTGCCACGAGGCTTTCTCCTACCGATCTCTTGTGTCTATGTGGCTGGTGCACATGCACTCGAGTGACTCTCCTCTCTTCGCGCACAGTCACCGCGCTTCTGCGTTTGGTACACGCCTCGTGCCTTTCCTTTACTCATCACATCGAGTGCCCCTTTAAAAAGTTACTTCTTAAAAAACTGCTCATTCCCATTCTCTAAGTGATGTCTGCAAGGCTGCACCTTGTTTTTCTTTCTTGGTTTCTGCCTTCTGTTCTTCTGTCAGTGTTGTGACTTGTGGCCAGACGTGCGCGGGGTGGCGCATCACCTTTCCTCATCGCACGTCTTCAATGATATTCACTTGGCACGACGCCACACTATTAAAGCATCACACCATTCACCAACACGCATCAAGCACTAAAATCAACTGTTCACATGTCCACGAGTTCCTTATCTTATACCACACAGATACACTCACAAGAAGAACAGCACACTGCACTCAGCACTCCATATTCCAAAAATCTGCACATTTTCATAACTGAAGAACTCTACAGACCCTACTATGCATAAAGTCATCAATCAGTTTACCCAGAATATTTTTCCCTGCATAGAACTTACATTCTTTCCGAGGATCAGGCCTTAATTTGGTACAGCATGCTTAAACCTGTGTTTCTTTTATTCTGCATCTTTCTCAGCTTTTTTTCTACACCTACTCGCCATCCATCCTCTCGAACGCTTGCTACAGCTGATCCTACTATTAAAGGTTTTAGTTTGGCGTTTTTGTGGTCCGCCCCGCTCCGGGAGCACCCGCGAAGCCGCAGCGGAGCGGCGGCTGAATGTTCTCTTTTAGTTATTCGTTGCCGGCAGCGAAGCGGACCTTTCGCAGTTGCAGCGCCCTCTGGTCGTTTTCATCGTTGGTAAACAAAATAAAAACATTTTTTCACGTATACAAAGCAAAACAATAATGTATAAATTATCTTTTCATGAGGTATTTAGAAATACACTTTCAATGTATTAAGCGTCTATTTTTTTGACAAAGAAGCAAGCTCTGACTTGATAGTAGCCACTCAAAAGCCAGCAAGGTTCCGTTCCAGATTTATTGCAAGCATTCACTGTGTGTTGTTCGCGCTTTTGACGCGTGTGTGGTGGCGGCATTTTTATTTTTCACCGTTGAAACTGTGTTTGCATAACCATTTATGCCTCCGACAAGTGTGCTAGAGGACCCATTTTTGATGGGTTTCTTAAAGTGGTCCGAAATCAAGGTGTTGTGCCTTGAAGTCTTCCAATACACTCGGCGAGACCCGCTGTCGTTTTTTTTCGAATGCCCCATGCCGTTTGCCTTCCGCGGCACGGTTCTGGGGGCATAATCGACCTCCCTCATGAGATCCGATACAGCTTGAAGCAGCTGCTCCCGCTCTCCATATTGTTCTTCGGTGCCAGACCTACGGAGCAATCAAGCATGTTACACTGCGACTGTTTCATCTACAGCACTTGAACAGCGTTTACTAATAAAGTAAGCGAGCACTCACTTCCACATGTTCACTGTGTCCTGCTGTCGGAAATAGCCGATGAGGAGGTCCACTCGCTCTTTGATGCCGCGAATTGTGAGCTCGCGATTTACCGCTCTCATGACGTTTCGCAGCACGTCCTCCCACGCGGTGGGATTGCTGAAGGAGTCAGCACACACCACTTCTTTCAACAGGCACAAATCTTCATTGATGCGAAATTGTTTTCGCGGCTTGCGCTGGGCAGTTGACGGACAAGCTGCAGCACTCGCGGAAAGCGTGCCATCTTCGGAGGCAGCCATCTTGAAATGAGCAAAGTTGCTACTAGCACGAGAGAGGGCGCGCGCGTTGTACCCCTTCCGCTTGCAAAAACGGCAGCGACGCACCGCGCTTCGCTTAGGCTGCTCGTAAGCGGACCGTATTCCCCGCTCCGGTAACTCGCTTAAGGCCTTAGCGGAGGGCGCATGCGCACTCGCGTTAAATCATCAAAATAAAAACCTTTATTTCTGTTCATTCTACATTTTTTCAAACAGACTTTCCCAGGCTGCGTCCTATCCTTCATCACCCTATCTGTTTCTAAATCTCTGAAATCCACTTTATGCAGTCTCGCAATATTCTTTCTTTTTGTTCTTGAGCATCTATCACTCACAACCATACCGACCTTTCTTGCGTCTTCATAACTGCCTCAGCTTTGCAATGCCTTTAGAGCTGTCCGCTTTCTCCTTAATTTTTCGAGTTGTGCCCCGT